CGCCGGTGCTCCCCGCCGGGCAAAGCCCTGGCGGATCCGGCGGCGGCGGGACTTCGCTCCCAGGCTGCCTCCTCCCTCAAGCGTGGGGCTCGACGAGGCTGACGGAGCCGTGCTGCTCCGGACCTAGGGTTTCGCGACGGCGGCCCCAGATCCAGAGGGTCGGGCCTCTGGACCTGGCGTGGCGAGCACGCGGGCAGCGCGGCACGACCCTTTGGGGGTGCGGCTGCGGCTGCTTGGCTGTGCCCTGGTGGATCCAGGTGGCGGAGGCTGCGGGTCACCGCGGCAGCGGCCATGGTCGGCGGCAGCAAGGTGCAGGTGGCAGGTCCCCGCGACGGCGCCACTACCCCTGCTCGACGCGACCCCCTGCGGTGGATGGCCTTGTTTGGCAGCCATCTGGCGGCTGCTGCTCTGCGCTGGCCGGTGCTTCCCTACATCGACAGTGACGACACGTGGTTTCCCTCTTGGTGCTGATGGTCCTCTCCGGCGGTCTGCTTCCCCATCTCCTGTCTGCTCTGCTTCGACGGTATTTGGGGTTCTGGTCTTGGGCGGGGGCGAACGATGGCCTGCGCTGACAACGGCGACACCTGAGGGTGCCGTAACCTCCATGGAGGCGCTGTCATGGCCCAGATTGACCCTCTCCTCGAGCACCGGGGGAAACACTTGGTCCAGTTCATTGGACAAGGCAGCGGTGGCGTCTCAGCGCCATTCCCTTCTTGAAGGCGTTGTTTGGGTCGCACTTGGTGTCCCCGATGCGGCAGCTGGAGATGGTGGCCTCCTCGGTCTTCCGGCGAGGCTTGCTGGTAATGCGATGCTGTGATGAGGGCTTCAGCATAGAGCGTGGGCGTCCGGGGCGCTATGTACGCCAGCGCCGGCATGTCCAAGACGATGACTTCACTAGTCCTGGATGGGTCCTGCCATCCACCTGCCGTCTCTTAGGCCCTTATGGGTGGAAGGTACGTTGGCCTGGACAGCCCTGGAGATGCGGTCTTCTTTGGAGGCGCCTGGCAATGGCTGTGACGCGGCCTTGAGGCTCTGAGTCTAGTTACCTCGCCGTTCATGGTTGGAGGCTGGACAAGGCTAGACCTTTCGTAGTTGCAGTCTGTAGTTGGTAGCACCTCCTCGCCTGCTCGTTTGGTGAGGACGATGATGTGTGTGCGTGTGTCCCTCCTCTTGGGAGGTTGTACCTGTACTGCTGTTCTCTTCCTGTTCAATGAAATGAAACGCAAACTCTTTTGCGTTTTCTCGAAAAAATCTGGATGCCAAACAAGCACAACCCACCGACCAACGCATTTGTACAGTATATCTACATGTTTGGTGGAACTGCAGCAGTGAACAGTAGGCCTGGGCATTCGGTCAGTTTCTACTGTTTGGTTTTTTATGAATTCGGTTTGCGTGTACGATCACATTACTTCGGTTTCTGTTTCAGTTACGGTATAAAACCGAACTGTACGAATTAAATTTGGTTAGTATAACTGGAAACCGAATTTTACTGTAGCACCAACAAAAACCGAAAATTCGGTTTTTTCGGCTTCGGTTCGTCGGTTTTTATGCCCACCCCTAGTGAACAGTTTGCTCTATGCAACTTAAGGGCCTGTCTGGAACCAGGGCTAGTTTGTTGTATGGTAAATCTAGGAAACTTTCCACGTTCCAAGCATGTCTTTCACTGTTTCATATATTCTCTCAAATCAGCAAACATTTGCAAACCATCTTGTTTGAAAATTACCTAAGGTGCCCAATACATAAGAGGCTGGTTGTAACTAAAATGGAAAGCAGATAATGAATGGTTGGGATTGAGCGGTGACGCCCACCTGCAATAATATGATGAAACAAGAAACCTGAAGTCATTTAGTCATAAGCAGTTTTACTAACAGTTTATGCTGCCTCTTTGGTGGGAATGGAAAATTTGTAAGAATAGAAAACTCCTGAAGCAACATTTCAGGTCAAGTGTGGAAATGGAAATTTTGTAAGAACATAAAACTGATTTGGCTCTGAAAGTTAGCTTCACAGGTTTTTTGAAGACAGTATGAAAACAAATTAGAGAGCTGAAAGTTATCTATATTAAGGGCTCATTCAGCTTGCAGGATTTCTAAATCAAAGGAATAGGAAAAGTAAAGGATTGGGATGCTCTCTCCACTTTAATCCTTATGAATTTTCCATGAGGTCTCACCTAATGCTAAGAATCATTAGGAATTAAGCCAATATGGACACAATCCTAAGGAATCTAGTACCTTCATTCTTGTGAAACGAATGTCATACATAGGGAAAAAATCCTATGGGAATCCTCCAAAAATCCTGCAAACCTAATGAGCCCTAAGATTCGAGAACAAGGTCTTGTTTATCCATGATATTCTCTTCAGCGTATATTGAACAGTAAAATATGTATAGACAGATGCTTTTGTAGTCTAAGTTTTCAGAAAGAAGCAACTAACAGGTAACAAACATAGTGTCATGTAGAAAAACTACCTTATCTTCTTGCCAATTTTTCTGTAGTTTACACCGTCCCTGCAGACAGAAATACCCTTCTCCGAGCATTCTTCAGCTGCCTGAACCCAATAAAGATCATTTGGTTTCATGGTTTCATGGATGAAAGAACCTTTTTTTCGATAAAAGAGAACATAGTGTATCACCCAACTGTAAAAAAGTCCTTTCAGAACATTAAGCCTCAAAATTAGATCTATAAAGTAGAACAAATACTACAGGGATTTGTTAAAATCCAACACGGACAAAAACATCGTAAAACTCACATTAGTGCATACTGCTACTGAATGTCTATGTTCGTGGATGAAATACCTCACAAATCAATAATAGCTTACCTTTAGGAAATGCTTGATAGATTCATCCGCTTCTCCGCATACAAATGTTCTGGAAGTTCCGCCATGGTACCCCTGAAAAGAATGGTATGAATCACGTTAAAACTAGGGAATGTGTCAGTAAAATCCGAGACTATGCCAAACATACCAACGAAGCATATGCACAATCTTAGGAGAGAGGACTTACATTTAGGAACACATTTACATCAATATTTATGATGTCTCCATTCTGCAGTAGAAACAACATTTTTCATCCCAGAGTACATAGGCATGACAGAAAAATAAAGAAAGAGAGATGCAAATTTCATCCTACAGAACCTGCAGCTGTGTTGAATCAGGTAGTCCATGGCAGACACACTCATTTACTGATGTGCAGATACTTTTAGGAAATCCACCATAGCCAAGTGGAGAAGGATAAGCACCCGCCTCAACTATCATATGATGCACCGCCCTGTCGATTTCATTTGTAGTAACTGATGGCTGAAATGACGGTGAAATAATGACTGTTATGAAGTGTACACTGCAGAGTCTTCAGATGATTTAGATATAAAAGGATTCTAGCTATCTATGGAAAAAAGAATATACCTTAACCAATGTTCCCGCGAAGTCCAGTACACGGGCAGCAAGTTTGCAAGCAGCTCTCATCCCAGCGATACCTTCGGCATTGTGTATTTGGCGAACTGCGGGTAGTTCTTGTGGTATGTTTGCACCCACATAAGAAGGTCTTGGAATGTGTTCTGGTACAGGAAGTTGGGGATAGACCTTTCCACGCCTCAAAGGCGGCCTCTTCTTTAACTTGCCTGAACTTTGCTCTTGTGTCCTTCAAATGTGTAAGGGTGTTTACAGAGTCATCATCATCAAATAAGAAACAGACTGGCTGACTTTAGAGCTACATGGCAACTTTCTCTAGATGTCACACCAAGATGAGTACCATCAAGTGTGAAATCTAAGGTCAGAGGAAATTTAGAACCTAGCTCCAAACCAATGGCTACGGCAATTGGTAAATCCTGACGACATGATAAAAGAAGCGACAACAGAAGCTTAAGCACAGCGTAATAGTGACGAGAATCGTACTTTTGTAGCTCCATGAGCTCTTCTTCAACCCCATCAACCCAAGTAAGTCCGCCGGCCACGACAAAGCAGCGCTTTGGCGTTATTGCTTTACCTACAGCAGGACAGCAAAGAAGAATCAGCTACGAACCCTGCTGTAGTTTCAGCTCTGTTAATCCCATAATGTTTTTTTTTTGAGCAATAAACGGCTGTTGGTAGTAGAACGACCCGCCCAAGCAATTAAGCTGAGCAGGCTCCTTACCAAAACAAGAAGAGGCCGTCCGAGGATCTCTTCGATTGATGGTGAACTTTGAGACGAACGGGGGAGCCGCCGGCAGGAGGAATGTGTGGGTTCCGGCCGGGCGGGGTGGTACCGGAACGCCGGAACATGACGCTCCAGGTGACATGGCAATAGGGATTCGCACGGCGTCGGTGGAGGCGCCGTGGTCGAGGAAACGGGGCCGGCGGCCGTGTTCGAGGAAGAGGAGGCCGGCGGGTACAAGGGAGGACGAGGAGTGCAGCGGAGAGAGGGGATGTGCGTTGAGGATGAGACGCCGCCGGGACCGGGAGGTTTCGGCTATGCGTGTTACATGACTGACGTCAGATTGTTTTGGCTTTCCGAGAGAACATCTTGATGGCCGTCGGATTGGATGCACGAATCTTGAAGCAGTGGAGCGTTCCACATCATCCACAGCCACCTGTTCGTTCGAGCGACCCGTGAGCTAATTTCTTTTTTGAAAGAATGGGTTATATTTTTCATATGCTCTCCTCTTGTTGATATGACAAGCAAAGAACAAAAAACTGAGCACTTACTTTGCTCACCCTTTTTTATCGTTTTTAATGCAAATAGATTTAATCTAGTAATTTCTTTTAGATTAAGTCTTATTAGGTCTTGTTTGACCGGTGAAACACGAATGACCTTATCCTTCTTCTCTGTCGCTTCCATTCTCCTCCCATTCCTCTCACCCTCTCTCCATCTCCCTCTCTCTCGGCAATACATGTCACAGATGGATTGAGCGCCAGTCGGTGACGAGGCCAAGAGGCCACCGGATTCTGGACCAGGTCGGCACACCCTGCAATCACCGGTCTTGGGCAAGCATGGCAACTCGAGCGACTAACGATAATGGTACTCTGCTTCAATTTGTTGCCACATCGACGGATGAGGTCATTGAGGAGACACCACGGGAGGTGGAGGCCATCGAGGAGCTATCGCGCACCTTACCCATTCTGTTTGGTCACGGGAGACGGAGGGCGTTGAGGAGCATGCGGAGAAGAGCAGCCTCGCCGTGGTGGTGTCGTGGTTCCCGGCGAGCAGCGACACGTTGGAGGTGAGGCACGGGGTGTGTCCACGGCTCGCAGACGGATCTTGATATCCCGACTCATGTCGGCGACGGCGGTGCAGGATCAAATAGGAGAGCGGGGCTTTGTGTCGTCGGCAAGATGATAACGGGGGGCGTCACAGAGTGGCCGACCACCAGCGGCACCATCAATGGGGCACGTGGAGGAGCATTGCCTGCATTTGGTGGTGCTCTTCACCAGCATCTGTGACGCCTTCTACTTCTGCTTACCCCCCACCATTCTGCTATGCCCATCAGTAAATCTCCAGAACAACATAGGACACGTTTGGTAGCCTGCATTAGGCCCAGTCAAGCCCGTGCGGGATGTTTTTGGCCTGTTTGGTTACTCGGGTCGAATCGAAATTTTGGCCCGCACAGAACTTAAATAACCTTTGGTCTGCATCCAGAGGAACAGACGAATCGTTTGTTTCTAGCGAGCCAGGTTGAGTGGAGCCATATTGAGGGCACATGGATGGGTCTGATTGCACGAGATGATGCGAGTACTATACAGGTTGTATGTGATTTCTTCTCCTACCTCGAGTAAACTGCTTCTCTAGTCTTCTTTCTTCCGTCCCTTCTAATCTACATAATAATGCTTCGATTCAAGATAAGCTCCACATAAAAAAGATGCACGTCGAGGTTATGGGTCCATTCAGGTGATCTGTTCGTAGTTTCATTGACCGTATTTAATTTTATGTTCATGTTCAGAGCTATTTTGGTCAAATTTTGTCAAACTCGTTGCACATGATCGACAATTTGAAATTTCCTTTGACCAATAGCTTCATCTCGTAGTTTCACATGAGTTTCGTGTTGCACATTTTCTGTTTTGACGAGCATAGATGAGTAGATCTACCTCTTCTTCATGGAGTGTACAATCACATGTGTGTGATCTATTTTAATGACATTCCTTAATCTCCTCCATCAAGTTTTTCCTCTTAGCCTCATCTTCCATGTCCTGCTACACCGGCGTCACCGTGGGCGTGGATCCTCTTGGACTCCTCTCCCGCATGTTGTTGCACTAGTGCCACTGTCGGAGTCGTTCGTCTCAACCTTTTTTTCTGCATCCTACTACACTGTGCGGTCATCGTTCCTTTCTGCCTTCTCTCCCATGTCCTGCTACACCGAAGCCATCATCGGCGTCGTTCCTCTCGGCCTACTCGCTTGTGTCCTTCTAAATTGGCGTCGTCGCCATTTTCATTCTTTCCGGCCTCCTCCTCCGCATCCTACTATACTGACGCTGCCATGACGCGCGCACTGTATTTTTTTCTCCATCATCCTTTGCCCGAGTGCCATCATATTTGTTACTCCACATGGACTTTTTCTGTGGCGACGACGCTGGCAACTATTCCAGTGCGCCGCCAATGGGGTCGCTCGCTCGTAACTTCGTGTTCGTCATGTCAGACACGGCGCTGCGTCCATCATCCACTGTAGTCGCCGAAGCACTCTAGTGTAACTATGTGTTATATGTTGTTATTAACTCTTAATCATGTCCAGTGTGTAAAACCAAACACCATGTAGTTGCATGAACCTAGTTAATGCAAGCAACCAAACACAACGCATAGAGTCGTTGCTACGATACAGGGAGAGGGGATGCACGCAACCAAACAACATGCAAATGTTGGTTTTTTGCCTGCATTAGCTCTACCAGACTCACCTGGGACAAGTATGCAAAGTGGCAAAAAATGGTTCGAGTAACCAAACACATCTATAATGATGCACATAAGGTCATGCAAATTACTCTGTTTCATTCCACGGCAAAATTACAAGGAACATGCGTACACGTAGTACTACCACAATGGTCAGTTCATCATAAGAGCACAACTGGACTTGGCACATTCGACACCTCAAACGCCCGCGGATGCGCCCGGGCGCGTCCGCGGACACTGACCGATCAAGCATCAAATTACCCTTCTCACAATAGAACACCTTAATTAGCATATCTCAAATCCATGCAAACTCATGCAACTACGTAAATGATGCTACATTGTCCAACTACTATGTCATCGGACTACCAAAAATTAGCATGTTTGGCTATGGTGGAGAAGGTCATCCGGGGTTGCCCTTCTTGGTGCCCTCTGTTAGTGTCAAAACCGGCTGATCTTGGGTAGGGGGTCCCGAACTGTGCGTCTGAGGATCGAAGGTAACATGAGACAAGGGGGACACGATGTTTACCCAGGTTCGGTCCCTCTTAATGGAGGTAAAACCCTACGCCCTGATTGATTGTATTTGATGAGTATAGGGGTTACAAGAGTTGATCTACCTCGAGGTCGTAATGGCTAAACCCTAGATGTCTAGCCTATATGAATTATGAGAGACTCTACGGACAAAACCCTCCGGTTTATATAGACACCAGAGGGGTCTAGGGTTGTACAGAGTTAGTTTATAGAGAAATGAAACTACACATCCGGACGTTAACCTTGCCATCCACGCAAAGGAGAGTCCCACCCGGACACGGGGGAAGGCCTTCTACCTTGTATCTTCACGGCCCATCAGTCCATCTCACAACACACGGGACAGACTCTCGAAGACCCCTTAGTCCAGGACTCCCTCAGTAGCCCCTGAACCAGTCTTCCATGACGATGTGTTCGGCTCACAGATTGTCTTCGACATTGCAAGGTGGGTTCCTTCTCCACATACTTCAAAGCAGTCTTCTGAGCAAGAGAACTGTATCTGGCTCTATATAATAGTTACAACCCTCAACCACAAGGGTACAATACTTAATCAAAATAAGGTATGTCTACTAACAGCTTTTTCGGCGAAACATCACATCTGGCCTTTTTATTATTTTGAATCGTTTGTTGGCCTCCCGCTTTGTGTTTTGAGGCATAGCCTCCATTGACACGTCTTGTCAAAGCAGATATCGTGTCCCCTTATTGCAGGATTTTCATCAATACGGGTTTGGGTAATCCAACCGTGCCATTCGCACGACCCCTTCGGAATAGGCGGGTTTTAAGGCTTGTGGGGGCACTTGATATTCACTGCCTATATAAGTGGATAAAGATCCATCTTTTTACCCCACACCTTCTTCCTTCCCCAGCCTTCTCATCCTCGAGCTCCAGCGCCCAAGCTTCAATCTTTCCCACCGCCCAATCTCTCCAGCCATGGCCGGATCTGGCTCGCAGGGCAAGTGGATGACTTCCTCCGTCACGGAGAAGAACGTCAGGGAACTCCAGGAAGTGGGGTACCTGGCTGCGAGTATCGCGCACAGGCTCCCTGCAAAAAAGCAGATCATCCCTACTTCAGAGCCCGGTGAGAGGGTGGTGTTTATCCCCCACTTCCTCTGCGGACTAGGGTTTCCTCTCCACCCTTTCGTCCACGGCCTCATGTTCTATTATGGGCTAGATTTCCACGATCTAGCCCAAAATTCCTTCCTCCACATTTCGGCGTTCACCGTCGTGTGTGAGGCGCTCCTCCGCATCCCCCCCCACTTCGGCCTATGGCTTAAGGTTTTCAACGTGAATCCGAAAGTGGTTGACGGGCAACATGCGGACTATGGCGGCGCCATGGTGAGCAAGCTCCCCAACGTCACCTGGCCCAAAGGGGCCTTCATGGAGACCGTGAAGGGATGGCAACAGGAGTGGTTCTACATCACCGAACCCCGTGGCGCCACATGGGCAGCCACTCCTGAGTTTAAATCCGGACCCCCCCAATGCGGCTCACGTCCTGGATTAACAAGGGCCTGGATTGGGCATCGTCCAATGAAGTGATGGTGCTGCAAAAGAGCATAAAAATATGATAGAGAAGAACACCAGTCTCACTGATATGATTCAGGTGATGCTTTTTCGTTGGATCCTCCCCTGCCAGCGCCGGCTTGTCCAGATGTGGGAGTTCAATCCGGAAGGTCCGCGGACCCTGCCGTGAATCTTTGGCATGACGCACGAAGAGATCTGGAAACTACTTTTCAAGGCCTAGAAGTCGTGGCCGGAGACGACCGATGACATCTGCCTCGATTGCGCTCATCCGGCCACCCCGGTAAGTTTTCTAGTTTCTGAACATAACTTCAGTTCATAAATCAAAGGGTATGTTGAGCCTTCCATCCTGTATTTAGGTCCGGACAAAGGAGGCGGAGC